AGTTTTTTCCAAATTGCCAAGCCACTATATTGTGAGAAAATCATTGTTCTTTTTTAAAAAAAAACATACTAATTTTGCTATAGGGAATGTATGCTTATCTTATAGAGACAGAGACAGAGATACACAGAGAAAGATGGGGGGGAGAGAGAATGAGAGAGAGAGAGAGAGAGAGAGAGAGAGAGAGAAGGCACTTCCCAGGGGGTATAGCACACCTTGATCCCTCTCCTCCATTCTCCTCTTGGGATTTTGGGCTGCACACACATGTCCAGCACGTTTTTCAAGCTATGGTCTAGGATTTTTACCTCATAATTGGCCATGTGGGATCCAGCTCCATTAACTACTACCATACCACCAGGTGACCCACTGTTTCTTCTTGTTTTTGTTTTTGTTTTTTTAAGAATTATTTTATTTAACTTTATTTATTTATTTTAATTTGGCCAGAGAGGGAGGGGGAGAGAGAGAAAAAGAGGGAGAGAGAAAGAGAGAGAGAAAGTGAGAAAGCAAGCCACCAGGTCCAGGACTCGAACCACAGTCAGCCATGTGGAAGCCCAGCACCCTTAACCACCACACCACCTGGTGGCCCCCAGTTTGTTCTTGTTTTAAGAATTTAAGTTTTGAAGTAATTTACTATAGAGTAATAGTAACTGATACAATTATTAAAGAACATAGCTTTAAAAATATGACTCTAAAATTAAAACTGCATTTCTATTTTAATGGATTATTATATATTCAAATATCTAGGTATGCAGTATAAAACTTAAAATTAAGAAAGTGGAAAAATAAAAACATCAATTTAAAAAATGCCTTCTTCTAGGGGATTAAGATTTTCTCATGTCTTTGAAACTCTTCAGGATGGTAGGATGTAAAGTAACAACTTCAAGATTATACATAGAGAAAATGACCAAAGTAGAAGATGAAAACCAGCTGGGCTGGCCTCATAGCTCAGTAGTTAAGGAAGCCAGATATTACATGGCTGACCACAGTTAGATTCCTGGCCCTGGTTGCTTGAAAAACATACGAGGTGTATGTGCATTTGTGTCCAAAATCCTGATGAGAAGGAGGAATGGAAGAAAAGAGATTGTGGCATGACTGTACTCCATAGGGACGGGAGTGTGCTCCCTTACTTTCTCTCTTTCCC